CTAGCGAATGATGATGGATGCCACCCCCCTCTCGCCCCCCGCTCTTCTGTAACAGACGCACGAGCCTACTGCAGGTACTTTTGTGCAACCACCACAAAAAAACTATTCCACCTCTCGATCTAGTACCTCTAGTTACTCCCACCCTCACAGTTGAAGGATGCATTTCCGTCGTGAATAATAGCCAAAGAGATGTAAGTACACCTTCGGATTTCCTGGGCGCGTGCTTTCGGGCACCCAACCTCTTTGTTGTGGTTTTCAAGCGGTGGGCGGCCTTTGAACTCGAGTGTTGGCAGGTAATCCTTCTCGCGGGGGGACAAGAAGGGGGGTGGACTTCAGATGGATCCGGGGGGGCAGTAACCCCAACGCTGCCATGATTTCTAACACTTGTCAGTTTGCTTCAGCTACGGCTACTACTGCTGTAGGCAGCTAGCTGTTCTCTGGTTCAGGGGCAGGGTAATGGGTTTGTTCCACGCTCCCTGTCGGGCTTCATGCCTGCCCGCGCTGTGTGCCAGGACAACGGTGCCGATGTAAATGTTTGGCGGAGCCTCTCAAGTTTTGTTGGGGTATCAAAGGGCAATACTCTCTCGCTGCTGTGCTTTTTTAACACCTGTAACCTGGACACCTCGCACCTTTTGCGAGCCTCTTTGCTTTCTTGGTGCACGGGGCGAGCATGCTTTGTATATATGTACCGTATTCTCGGCCGCCGCGTTGGGGGAGTCCCGCTGAATCAGCGAAAAACGTTAATTTTTTGCCCTGATCAGAGTCACAACCAGCCTGTTCCATTCGCTCTGCACATGTAGGCAACCAGGCTTTGGTCGATGAGCAGCAGTCGATTTCGCACGAAAACCAACCTCAGACCAACCTCAGACCAACCTCAGACCAACCAACCCGGCAACCATACACGACCCCCCCCCCCCCCCCCCCCCCCCCCCCNCCCCCCCCCCCCCGCCGACACACGCAGGTGTTCAGCGAGCAGCGATTCGCGGCCGAGAAGCCCTTGGGCATGGTGGACATTCCCCTGGTGAATCTCAGCGTGGACGGGGAGGAGTGGGAGCAGTCCTACTCTCTCGAGCCCTTCGGGAGGCTCAGGGCCGGGGGCAGGCTCGGCAGCATCCACGTCCGGCTCAAGATAGGCGCCGTCGTCGACAAGCGGGACGGGTCCTCGAAGCAGTTCTTGGACCTGAAGCGGGGCCTCAATGACAGGGGGGACGAGGAACCCGGGTATCAGGATCAGCCGCCGAACTTCTTGAGGATTACGCTGCACCAGGTGTGTTGTGTGTACGACCGCACTTGAACGGCTCAGCCCCCTCACCCCGTCCCACCCGGTTCTAGCCGAGGAACCGGCCGTGTTTGGTTGTGTAGTCCCCCGATCCCCTGCCGTACTCTATTTCTCGACAACCTGAAGTTCCCCGTCCAAAACGGACGGTATGCCGTTTTTACGTGAAGCAGCTGCGGGGTCCCCCCCCCCCCCCCCCCCCCCCCNNNGGGGGGGGGGGGGGGGGGGGGGGGGGGGGGGGGGGGGGGGGGGGGGGCACTCCTGCTTTGAGGCTAAAGGGCACATACGGAGGGTGGCCAAACTTCGTGTTCCGCCGCGGCTGAACCGGCTGGAGTTTCATGGCGTGGGGGGGCGTGACACTCTGGGATGTGGATGTAATCACTACTGTACGGTGCCGTTGTAAATGGATGCACTTGGGCGTCACGGCGATATGCACGACTTTTGGGGGGGGGGGAGGCACCCTGACTGCCGTGTGCCGTGCATGCCTCCCGGGGTGTCCCAGCCGTAGGTCCATCTATCTGTCTACTGTACCTCTTCCCTACACGAGGGCTTCCCAGAGGGAAGCAAGACCGACCGACCGTTTCTTCCCACCTTTCCCCTGCACTACCTTTTTTTTTCCGATTTAATACGCGGGAAGTTCAGCGGTCAGTCCCTGCTCTCGTTGACGTTCGATACAACGTAAACCGCGCGCTCTCCCTGTTTCACTCTTGCTTGGCCTGTCCGTGCTTTCCTCTTTCGGCCAAAAGGGTCAAGACCTTTTGGCGTTGGACATGGGGGTCAGCTCTGATCCGCTCGTCATATTTAAGCTCGGCGGCAAGGAGCAGCGATCGCGGGTTATACAGAAAAATCTCAACCCACAATGGGAAGAGGTGTTCGAGTTCGAGTGCAGGAGCTCCGGGTGAGACTGTAATAATTATTTTTTTGTTTTTTGGGGGGGCGGTACGGTTAGGGCTGTAGTGCAAATGTTTGGCCGGGCGTAAGGGTTGAGCAGTTTCGCAAGAGTTACAGCTCTCTCCGAGCTTCATCGTCTTGCAAGCGATGTGAAACACCAAGCCGATTATCGTGAATATACCACTTTTTTCATTTTAGGCCATTGTTGCCGTGGACAAGCTTCGTACGCACTGTGTTGCTTCATCGCATCGCCGTCACAACTCGTTTCGTATATTTTTGGTCATCTCTTTCGCAGAGAGTCGTTGGAGATCACCGTTGAGGACGAGGACCGATTCGTGAATGACTTCATAGGCTTCGTGAGCATATTGATGGGGGACCTGGAAGACAAGCGGAAGATCAGGCAGTGGTGAGAGAAAGAAAAAACAAGAAATATAAGTATGAAATTTACAGAGCAGGATCGATATCAAGTCGGCGTGGAGAATGTGGTGGTGATGGACCTGGCGTCAAGAGGAGGTAAAACCAAAAGACGATCGTGAACATCCCATGCGCGACTCCTCAATATCACTGCCGAAACACCCCCCCCAGCTCGCCGCACGAAAGCAAGCGCTGTCGGCAGTGTAGCTCGTCAGAGGACCCTTTGAGCAGTAGATGGTGGAGGTCATGCCGCTATTGTAGGGCGATGCCTTGTCGTAACTCCCTCCGGTTGAGTTCTTCCCGATCGTTGTCGCCGAGTTCCACTCTGCAATACGGATAGTACAAGTCGCAGACTCGCCCTCGGCAGAGGGCGATGTTGCCCTCTTGATCAGTGAGCTCTGTTCCCACTTCGATCCCGCTCCCTCACGGTGTCTTGGGTGAGCCAAGAAGAAACAAGTGCCATCCTGATACTCTCCTTGATACTCTCTCGCCCACGCCGATGACGGTCCTCCTGTGCCTTGAGCCACCCGTCCATTCACCAACGTGTGAACGGGAATTCACGGTGTCGGTTCTTGTTGGCCTGTCACTTCTGTAACGCCCCCCAAAAATTCCAATGGCTCTCCAGTCTCGAGGAAGTGGTCGTGCAAGACGAGACGCGTCTCGCGGAGGCCGTTGGCGAGTCCACCGCACTGGTGGGGAAATGCATGGCGATGGGACAAACGGGACACTGGAGAGCCATTGTTTTTTTTGGGGGCGTTACAGAAGTGACAGGCCAACAAGAACCGACACCGTGAATTCCCGTTCACACGTTGGTGAATGAACGGGTGGCTCAAGGCACAGGAGGACCGTCATCGGCGTGGGCAAGAGAGTATCAAGGAGAGTATTAGGATGGCACTTGTTTCTTCTTGGCTCACCCAAGACACCGTGAGGGAGCGGGACCGAAGTGGGAACAGAGCTCACTGATCAAGAGGGCAACATCGCCCTCTGCCGAGGGCGAGTCTGCGACTTGTACTATCCTTATTGCAGAGTGGAACTCGGCGACAACGATCGGGAAGAGCCCAACCGGAGGGAGAAACGACAGATCTCCCTGACAAAGACGAAATATACTGCCTGTGTGTTGTCATTTAGTCTTCAGCGATGGGATTTGGTTTTGTCATAATGTTTGGTTTCAGGTAGAACATGTATAGACACTTCTACACGGTACATAAGTGATGGAACCATGCTGAAAACTTAGTTTTTTTGTTTGAAGTTGGTTGGAATTCGTTGTTTTTTTTGGTTTTGGGGAGAACACACTGAGAAAGTTCATTAAAGTAAACCCACAAGGCGCCCCTGTCTTCACATCGCTATCCCTCCCTCTGCTTGCCACAAAAGAATGAAAGGCCGGCGCTGGACGAACGCCCCCCCCCCCCAGAAAAACGGCCCGCAGCCGTGTACAGCATTACCGGTGGTACCAGGACAGGCCGTTTCCATAGCCCGTCCCTTGGTGATCCTTAGTCCTAAATCCTTGTTCTTATCTTGCTGGAACAGAAGAAAAAGGTGCCGTGCCGTAAACAGAGTGCAATTCCTCAGGTCACGGGTGGGGACGAGTATGGAACATGTACCATGGGCGGTGGCGGTGGCGAAAGTCGACGCCCCTCTTTTTTGATGCACGAGCACGGGGCCAAGCACCGCTTAAGGGAAAGTTGGGGCAGTACTGCCTGCTACAAAGGAGTTCGTGTGGAACGGTTTAGTCACCACTTGAAAGGACTCTCAATCAACATAGATTTTTTTTGTTTTTTGACGCTTTTGTCGGAGGTCGTCGTTGATCTCCTGGTGATGTGCATGATGCGCTCGTCCCGCACAGACGAGCGGCTTGTCAGCAGACAGCAACCGCAAGAACTGCTGCGTGTAGCGGCATAGCCTGAAGTCTTGAAGACATTTTTGCACATTGAGCAAAAGCAAGTTGATATGCATCACCGCCGTGACACGACTACTGTAGACACTATTGTACGACGACGACATTATATCGCGGCCGGCCCGGGCACTCTCTGCTGTAAGACGCACATGGAGTGGACCTTCTATCCCTTCTTTCGTTTTGCCTCGCGCTCGATCGGCAACGACGCCTTTTCTGTCTCTCTCTCGCTCGCTCGCACTCTCTCGCTCGCCCTCTCTCTCTCTCTTGCACTCTCTCTTGCACTTTCTCTCTCTGCGACGGATGCATAAAAGCTTCTTCTTTTTTTTCTTGTTCCGTTTCACGGTGGTGGAGTTGAAACGAAACCGTGCCCACCAATCTTGATATCTTGACCCCGAAACGCGCCCACCCGCAACAATGCAACAGGTACGACCTCAAGCTGAGGACGGGAGAGCTGCCCGCCGGCGAGGAAAGAGGGTCCATCGAGATGACCACCCAGTGGTTCTTCAACCCCAAGTTTGCCGGCAAGGATGAGGCCACCAAGAAAAAGGTGGAGTTTAGCGTCGTCAATTGGCTGCAAGACGCCGAATCCGACACCGAGGTGAGCAAGCGCCAAGCGTTTCATTTTTTTTATTATTTATGTTTTTTTGGGGGGGAGGAGGTGGGGTCTAGCTTTCCTTCTTCTTGTTGCCTTGCTTTCAAGTCTTGCTTCGTAGAGTACAGGAGCATGGATATATAACGCGGTGATTACATCGTTTGCACACACGTACCATCGGTGTACGCGCGCGTATCTGCACGTAAATTTAAACCCGTCGCTTTCTGAGCGGCAAAAGTCCGAGCTAAATTAATTATGAAGCCAGTGTAGCCTCTCCTTGTCCAGAAAAACGGAAACGACCGAAAGGGGTGAAAACATAATATTCAGAATAGATCGAACCCTGCAGGTAGATGTAACGGCGATCGCTGTAAAATCCGCCGCGGAAAAACTATAGTAGGAAGTGACGTGATTGTGTGTTAAGTACATTTTGGTACCAGTAGTGGTGGCCCCAATGTTTCGGTTCGCCGTGTACCCGTCACTGTTCATTTGTTTTTTTGCGATGTGTTTGGGCAGGAGGATGAGCCAGACCAACAGGAAGACCCGAACGCGCAGATAGCGGCGAAGGAGGCCGATCCGGAGGAGAAGAAGAGGCAGGACGAGGAGAAGAAAGCCCTGCTCGCCAAGCTAAGTGACTTCAAGGTGAGCTGCTGCTGCTGTTTGATGTTGGTTTGTGTGCTTGCACCGGTGGCTTTCTTTCGTTTCGTTTCGTGTTTTTTTTTTTATGCCTACCCGCCTGACGTTTCCTTGTGAGTGGCGGCTGCCTACCCCCCCCGTCTCTCGGTCTTTTTTTTTTTTTTGCTGTCGCCGTCCCGTCGTTTCTTCTCGCCAGGTGGTTAGCGGCGATTACGTGGCGTACGTGCATATCATAGAGGTCCGGGAGCTCAAGGGCGAGGATCTCCAGGTGAGATGGTGACGAGAGTTTTTTAGTATTTTATAAATAGCAGCTACACGACGTGCCGGTTGAATAGTGCCGGTGCCCGGTCTAGCGGTGGTGCCGGCGATTTTCGGCTCGCACATACTGAATTTCCAAGTCATCCTCAATACTTTGAATTGAATAGTGCCGGTCAGGTGTGGTGCTGGTGAAGTTTCCGGGCACATTGCCGGCACTAGACAGGGACCTCTACTCTGTGTACTCTGTGAACCTAGCCTGGTGTTGGAATCCCATCCACTCAGGAGTAGTGTTGCGTTCGCCAGGGGGTTAATTGTAGCGGCAAAGGAAGAGCCGGGGGGGCGAGGGTGTCGTTTTATCGGGATGAGATGTCCAGTCATTCACAAGGCAAGGCAGGCATGTAGAGACTGGCTGCGGGTGTCGAGTTCTGACCGCCTGTACACATGACGGCCGCCGACGTCGCACGCTTTGTTGACACGAATTGATTATTGTTGACTTGAATTTTTCATGTTCTCGTTGGTCCTCCTCTTTTTTTTTTTTTCGCCGTTTGTGTGTACAACAGGGCACGTCTGACCCCGTGGTGTACGTGGAGGCGTTCGGCCAAAAGTTTGCGACGGAGGTGGTGAAGGACCGCCTCAACGCCGTCTTTGACGAGACGTTCGTCATAAACCTGAGAAACATGGACCAGGATGACTTCAAGGAGGGCGTGTTCCGGTAGGTATCTCTTGCTGTGGTGGTTGTTGTTGTTACTGTTGTTGTTTTTGTTGTTGTTGTTTTTGCTGTTGTTGCTGCTGTTCTCGTCTTGCTGGGGCTGGAGCTATTTTCGTGTTGTTGTTGATGTTGTTGTTTTTGTTGTTGTTGTTTTTGCTGTTGTTGCTGCTGTTCTCGTCTTGCTGGGGCTGGAGCTATTTTCGTGTTGTTGTTGATGTTGTTGTTTTTGTTGTTGTTGTTTTTGCTGTTGTTGCTGCTGTTCTCGTCTTGCTGGTGCTGCAGCTATTTTGGTGTTGTTGTTGTCGTTGTTGTGTGCCAGACGTGGGAACGTTTTTATCGTGACAACTTTCTCGTTGTTTGCATTGTTGAGGTTTCGAGACAGGCACTGCTGATGCTGTCGATTTTCGCATCGTCAGCAGCACCTGCCTCCCGATGTCCACATCCCTCCCCGCTTCCATTCTTTTGCTGCTGTCCGCAGGATATCTGTCATGGACGCCGACTTGACCATCGGGAGCCTTGGCGCCCTCAAGGCAGATCTCATCGGGGCCGTTAGCTTCGATGCCACCTATGTCTACTTCAACAAGGTTGAGCTTGTTGTCCTGTCTCTGTGTCTGACTGTTTTTCTAGTCAGCGCGGATAGACCCCGCTAACCGGCTGCCCAATGCACTACTGTCCTGATTCCATGTGGTGATAATGACCGCGCGTTTGGTGGTTGTGTCAACCAGCGACGGAGCCCAGGCACCCCCCCCCCCCCCCCCCCCCCCCCCCCCCCCCCCCCCCCCCCCCCCCCCCCCCCCNCCCCCCCCCCCCGCACCGCACCGCACCGCCGCCCGCCCGTCCAATGCAAGCTTCTGTATGAAGACAGGCTGCTCGATCGAAAATGACGATTCCCCACGCGAGCCGGGTCTGTAGTGAATCTCGCCTTGCTCATTTGCTTGTTCGTTTGTGTTCTTCGTTTCTTGTTTGTTTGTTTCACGGCATAGGACCACGAGGTGCACAGGCGTTGGGTAGCGCTTGTGGACGACGAGAACCCGGAGGACGTGGGCATCCAGGGTTACCTGCACCTCTCCATCGCCATCGTCGGGCCAGGAGACAGACTCAAGGTACATACAGACCACCCAGTCACCCATCACGTCTAGCGGCCGACTGCCTGCCTGCTTGCTCGACTGACCTTCCGGCCTGTTGTGCACCGCCTGTGTAGCTTGCTTTTTTGTTGACTCTCTCGATCGATGGCATGCCGCATGTGCATACAGATGATGTGTGTAGCGGGCGGCGGGGG